GAGAGAAAGGAAGCCAGAACTGGCTAGCTGTAGCGAAGGGTGTTCGGATCCCATGGTTTAGACAGAATCATGTCTAAATATTCACAAGCAAACTTTCCACAGGCCAGAAATACAAGGGCTTTCCCAGGTAAGGGAAAACGGGATGGAAGGTGGAGACCAGCCAGAAAACTCAGCGGGAAACCGTCTCCAGACAGGTGCAGGATAGAATTGACACCCCTCAAAATGGAGCCAGTTTTAAGGCACAATCTGACCTCTTTATAAAAAAAAAAACAAAAAAAAACAAAAAAAACCAACAAACAAAAAAAAAAAACACCTAGAAACTGTATGAGAAAGAACACAAACCGCTTGCAATTCCTGGCTGAGGGATAGTCTCCCAAGCCTGACATCAAATACACACAAGTCTTTGTGAAAATGTTCCCAGCCAGTGAACGCATCACAGACCTGGGGCCCTTCCAGGTATCCGCCGCGTGTCCATTTTAGATGTGTCTGTGCCGCCTGCCAACGTCTTGTTGAGTGACTGGGCTCAGTCTGTTACTGGCGACATGTTGACTCCCAGTAATTTGTGATAATTTCTTTAATTGAGCAAAAAAAGAATTCTCTAAAATGAGGGTGGGTCAATCAAACTTCAGGGCAAGAGGTCAACAGAAAAAGCCCCCGAGTCCCATTCCTGGAGTCTAACTAGGCTTAACCCCAAGCCACACCAGCAACCTCCATTCTTCTGTTAATCAGGAAACATTCTGCCAAATGTCCATTTTAAGGAAACACACACACACACACACACACACACACCATACACTTCACACTTGAAAACAGGTCTGCAAAAGGAGTTTTCATGAGAACATAATCTCAATTAGAAGCATACAAAATTCTAAGCCAACTTAATCAGGTAACGCCATAATGTTTCTCTTCTAATTAAAAAATAATTTCCTTTATTACTCTTAACAATTTGGTGCATTTGCACCGGTAAAATCATAAAAGCAAAAGCAGCTTGATTCTCCTGTATGGTAGGTTCCTCAGGTAGGTGATTCCAGGACTGTTTTAATTATTATTAAACAAGTCAATGGTATGCTATTAGACAAATATTAAAACAAGCATTGCACTTGGTTATTAATTTGAACTATTCGCTTTTAAATGCAGCAAATATCTCATTAATTTAATTTTAGGTGCCCACCAGTTTATATTGCATTTTACAGTCTAAAGGCAATTTACTATTAACTGGCAATTACATACACAGTGATTGTTAATTCTGCTCCTAAGTGCTAGCCGCTCGAAAATTGTTCTCTCTCTCTAATTTCTGACCTTCTTACAGCAGGGGCGAGGCTCGCTGGGAATACATAGAACTCCTATGGAAGAGCTGGACATGTCATTTGTGGCTCATTCTTTTAATTCACCGTGCTAATCAACTGAACCGCCACAGCCTCCCAAGGTAATTGCGACTTGAGAGGGACTGTGAACAGCAGCCAAGGGGCTGGATGGATGGGGCCTGACCAACCTTCCCTTTCCGGGGGCAGAGGCTGAGCACGACCACTCTGGGTTGACTAATAGGGTCTGGTTTTGAAAAATCTGGTGTTTCTCAGGTCACTGTAAACAGCTCATTTAGACCTCTGCCAAGTCCCTCCTAGGCTCTGTCAGGCTGGTGGCAGCCCCTCCTCCAAGCCCAGGTTCATTATCCAGTGGCCCTGCGGCCCCACAGCTGGCCTCATGCCGGGAAGGTTAAATGTGAAGGTGTCCCAGCAGCCTCCGGGGCCTGGGCACACTGATGGGAACCAGATGCCCAGGGGACGGCGCCCATGTTGTGACATCCAGAGTGGCTGGCTCAGTTTTCATTTGGGGAGAGTGAGTCCCTGTGATTACCTCATTGTCCCCATCAATTTCAGGGCAATGCAAATCAGACAGAAGCTTCCAGGCCAGACAGGTTATGACCCCACCTCTCCTCAGCTCCCTGAGAATATAGAACCCTGTATCCCTTACACACATGTGAAATGTATATTCCCAGTAATGATCCCAGACACACACACACACACAACTAGGAAGGGCTGAGCTTGCATAGCCTCACTGCAAACCCACACATGGGGAAGCAGGAAACGCCCAACCCCAGGAAAGCAGGACCTGAGTCTTGGGGGCTAACAAGTCCAATCAGCTTGAAAGTAGACGTAACCATGCATGATGGACAGTGACTCTCGAGAAAGGTCCATGTGGCTCTCACAAGCTCGGGAGACACTGCTCTCCTTTGAGAGGCAATGGACACTGGTCAAGGAGGGCATTCCACTTGGCCAGAGAGCAAGGAGCCTCCGTGAGAGTGCCCTTCCCCACCCACTCGGGAGAGCTGGTAACTGGGGATGCTATCATGTGACCCCTGCCAGTCAATGACAAGCAGCTCCTCCCACCCGCACAGCTGTGTTTATTCACAAGCGTTCAAACCAGGACCCATCTGCGGGAAAAGGAATGTCCGCACGTCTAAAAGTGGCCGTCTTCAACACTCAGACAAAAAGCCCAAGACTATAAAAACTTGGGGAAGGACTATAGCCCCCAAATAATGCAGCAGGACCTCCTAACAACCTAACTTGAGAAGGAAGACCTGCTTGGGAGGAGCAAGTCAGGCTTGCCAACTGTGGCCACAGGCTCACTCGGGTGCCACCAACCAAGCCAGGCCACATGAGAAGCACAGGAACTCACTCAGTACACCCAGCCCTGACACGTCTCCCACAGCTCAATGTCCGTATAAGAGCAAGCGCACGCCATCTCTGCATCCAGGGACTCGAGACATAAACAAGGCTCCCATGAACCCTAGTCAAAGTCTAAAATGTCAGTAGCTCTCCACAGCCGGTACTATTTGCTGAGTGCCCTCTGTATGTCAGACGCTTCAAGTTGTCCTTGATCCGTGCCACAACCCCATGAGGGAAAGAGGAGAGAAAACTGAACTTGGGGAAGTTCAAGTTCACATGGTCCCACAGCCACTACCCTGGGGGACTGAGCTATCTAGCCAAATATCCTCTGTGTTTGCATAGGGTCTGCTGCTCCTACAGCCTGATGTTCCTGCTGTGTGGTACACACACCAACAGCTGCCTTGAGGAGGTATATTGGATGTGGGGTGGGGGGGTAGCTGTAGTTCATCCATACACACAACTCCAAAGCAAAGATGCTGGGGATGACCAACTAGGCCTAAGACAAGATTCCAACTTCTTACTTCCCCAGGAACGGAACATTCAGTGTGGGTGTCCTTTGCTGAGAAGCAAAGGTACTTATTGGAAAGAGTATGTAGATGTTCCTGAATTGACTGTGGGTTAATATTTAATACTGTAAGTTGGAAAAGCTAAAGTTGAATGTGAATAGCCATCTAATGCACTGAACGTCACTGAGTGCAGCCTACCTTAACTATGTGCAGAGCACTTACAAAAACTATCTAGTCTGAAGTCCATTTCATAATACTGCACGTAGATAATAGAGTGTAGAACTGTGCATTTACTGAACGCTATACTGAAAGTAAAAAAAAAAAAATACATACTGGTAATGATGAGGTGGGCACATCATCCCACCACCAAAAAAGTCAGAAATAAGCAGAACTATTATAATTTGGGGAACAACTTGCACATAGTCTTTAAAAGATGTCCCTATTTTTATCATTTTGTTTTGACATGTTTTTATTTTTAATACACTGGGGGATTCAAAATCTAGAGGAACTCTTCTCTCTCAACCTCTCAACTTGAGGCCAAGAATATTCAGTGCCCCGAGTAGATGGGTATGTCAACTTTTTGCTATGCCCGCTCCCCTGTATCCTTCAGTTCTAAGGATCCTGGTGCCCCCCATTAACCAGTTAGGGGTGCTGGGTTGTCAGGAGCTGGATGCCTCTAGGATAAGGATCCAAGCCCTGCCTTGGGTGGCAGCGGACCTGCTGAGGAGCAGGGAATCTGTATGCTGCCACTCTGCTCCTTCAGTACTTCCTAAAAAAGGAAAGAAGTGGCCACTTCCACGATCTCCAGGAACCTCAGTGTGGAAGGAAGGGCCGGAAGGAAGGGCCTCAGAACCCTCCGTGGAACCTGTCTGCTGGCCAGAACAGAGAGTAGCACCCAGTGGGATACCAGCTCAGCTCCAGGGCACCTTCAGTTGGTAAAAGAGTGATCAAGCCCGGTGCTCTAAGCCCTACAGTGTGGAAGACACCCAGTCACTACACATCCGCAGATAATCAGCAAGGGTCCATCCTGCCCACCTTTGCTGGGCTTCAGCAGGTGTTGTCCTGCCATCAAAATCATTCCTCATGCCTTACAGCTTGTGGAACCGATGGGGAGTAAAAGCCAAAATGCAGACAGGCCTTCCTGAAGGTAAAGTTTATTTGCGGCACTTCTCCATGGCAATCTCCAGCAAATCATGTCAATTATGCACTTGGGTGGGCAAAGCAGCATATAAACGCCTCTGATATACCACTTACGGGAAGTCAGTCACACAAGCCACCCAGTCTATCTATCCACTGGGGCTTGAGCTGCATACTTACTACATGCATGTATACTCTCTGGAATGTAGATTTCCTGCAAGTAATAGCACCCTGCAGGGGCTAAGACCCCTGTCTTTTCCTGGATATGTGACAGGCTAAGACTTCTCCTTCCCAATCACAGCTCAAGCAACTGAAAAGCAGTGATGAGCCTGACCCTGATTGACAAGTGGGTGGGCACAAGGCCTTGCAAGCAGCCAGGCATGAGGCAGCCACTCCCATGGAAGCTGGAAGCTGCGGCAGCTACCAATAACTCTCCCTCCAACACCATTCTGCTCTGTTGGTGAGAGGCAAAGGCCTTTGGACAGGAGGAAATGCCAAGGTTACATGGCTGTGTCTGCCCGGCCATCGTGAGCTGTCTCAGATGCAGATGTAAATGTATACCTGATCAAACTCAACAGTGTGCCATGCCTCACTTCTGCATCCCCGTGGGGCCCCTGAAAACCACCCCACGAGACTCTGCTGAGAAGGAGCACCCACCGCTGCCCCACAGAGGCTGGAGCTGTGTACTCAC